AATAGCTTCCAAAATGCTTCCATTCCTGCCCTTTACAATCATTGTTTTTGTTTTGTTTTTTCAATTGAGCACCTACAGCTCGCCCCGAATCCCATAATCCATGCTCCTTGAAACTCTCCAGTGGCCTCCCATCGTACCTGGAAAGAAACCCAGACCCCTAGCTGGCCTCACAGGGCAAGGCTGTAGCTCCTTACCTGCCTCACCTCAAAGCATTTTCCCCGCTGGTTCTGCCTCAGGCCTTTGCACTTGATGTTCCTTTCTTGCTGCAATGCTTCCTTCCCTCCAGGTGGTTTTTACATTCACTTGCATTCCTCAGCCTTCCCTGGTTATTCAATCTACAGTGTTGACAGGTCACTTCACTTGTCTCAGTGGCTGGATGAGAAATACAAGAGAAAATAAGGCAGTGAGGTTGGACTGGGTCAGAGGTTCTCAACCCTGACTGTGTGCTAGTCCCTTCTGGGAAGCTTTAAAAAGCACACAGAAGCTCAGCCTTACTGCCAAGAATTCTAACTTAGGTCCTGGCATTCTTTAAAGTTCCCCACATGATTCTAAAGGACATGTGGGGTGATTACCTTTGGTCCGACCAGTGCTTCCCAAACTTGAACATGCATCCACATCACCTGCATACTGTGTTAACATGGGGATTCTGGTCAGGAGGTCTGGGGTGGAGCCTGAGATGCTGCATTTCTAACAAGTTCCCAGGTGATGCTGATGCCACCGGTGCACGGACCACACTTTAACTAGTGAGGGTCTGAACCATTTCTAGGTCTCCATCCCCTTCTAGCATGCCATGACAGTGGGTAAGGCAGTTCCAAAGCACAGGTGGTATGTTCCATATTCACCAAGCATCCTGCACCCCTCCATCTTGTTCATCTTTATCTGTTACAAATAAGCAATATTTTTGCCGGTGGTCAAAATATGTGAAAGCCAAACAAGAATAATGATGGATCATGTGATATGGCGAAGGGGCATGGACTCCGCAATGGGTTCATATTCCAATTCTGTTTCTTACCAGCTGTGTGAGCGTAGGCAAATTACTTCATCTCTCTGAGCCTTCATTTCTTCAACTCCGAAATGGGGATAATAAACACTTACTTTATTGAGAGGCTTAAATGGGTTAATACAGACAAAGCACTTTGCACGCAATAGGTACCTAATGGATGGCAACTGCTGTGATCTTGGTGGACTTTGCAAATTGATCTAATCTTGTAATCCAATTGCTGCAGGTCTTGGGAACCTTGATCTGTGCTTGCTGCAAGGATCATCAAACATAGAGCGGAGTCGGCCTTTGATCTGAATGTCAGGTGACTCCATGACATAAAAAATTTCAAGGCTCAGAACCTTCAAACCAGCATTTGTGACCTTGCCTGGAGGATGACGGGGGCAGAGAAACCCTTTGCTTCTTCCTTTCTCTGGATTGTTAGATTATCTCCCCATCTCTGTTCCCTGCCTACTTGCGTAATTTCCCCAGGGACTTTTGGTACAAAAACAGAAAACCTTAACTCTTAAAGTGTTGACTTCAATGCTGCTCTTACACTAGCCTGTTAGTAGTTATTTATTCATTCAGATATTAATTGGGTGCCTAGGTGCCAGGGACTTCATTGTCTCTGTTACCCTGCAGGTTGTCAAGGGGTGGCAGGCGCTGAACAACAACAACAAAAATATGTAATCGCAATTGTGGTGCCATGAAGGAAAAAAACAGGGTGCAACACAAGAGAATGTTGAAGAGCTGTGATGCCACTGATTTTCATGTCAAAAGAGCCTCTAGTTGCCTATGTGTAGAATAGATTGGAGCAGGCAGGAAGGAGGAGGACAAACAGTTAGGAGCCCTGTCAGTGGTCCTGGCCCAGATGGTGGCAATGGAAATGGGGAATCAAGACTGGGAGCCACTTCCCTTAGTCATGGTAAAATGTTGGCTTGTACTTTAAGCTGTTTTGTAAGTTTTTTCCCTTTTACTCAATACAGAAGACACCATGTCATCATCACAGAAAATTCTCATCAGCAGTGTGGTTTGGGGCCAGTGCATTTCCCTCTGTAGGTCTTACTTGTTTATTCTGTAAAATGGTAGTGGTGGTGGGTGTTGGTGTCAATGGGATCAAAGTTCTTTCTGCTTGTCATTTGAAGACTCCAAGACACATTAATGATATTCACAAATAAGAGATTTTAAGCTTCAAATTAGTAGAAGGTTTAATAATACAGGGAATTAGATTTCTCCCTTTAAGCACTCTTGCCTCCCTTTCACAGGTCAGTGAAATTATAATCATACTTTCAAGCACAGCCTGCATGAATCAGGAAGGGTCAAGGCCACAGGCCTCTCAAGTGAGAGCCACAAAGCAAAACTGGTCCCTCTACCCAGGCACCACCCCTAGCTCTAAACCATGGGAATCTGAGAGGTAGCTGGAGCATGACTCACCTGCCAACGCTGACAGACAGACACGTGCTGGGCCAGTGATACCAGAACCACCTCATACACAGGCCGGCAGGGATGATTTACGGACCTCAACCTAACATTGAATAGCTTGATTGTCTCACAGAAATTAGTACTCAAGTAAAAACTTTAGAAAATAAACCTTCAAATGTTGCAGATTAGGAAATTTAGGACCAGAGAGGTCAACTGACCAAGTTAAGGTTACATTGCTGGCTACTTGGCAAGCCCCAAGAACCTGAATGAAGTTAGATACAAGGAGAATTTCTTCGGGAAAATTACTTTGGTGGTATTGTAAGGGAGTTGCTTGATGCTGCTAAAAGAGACACTCGGCCATTAGTTTGGATGTGTCAGTTGAGTCTGAGGTTCTAGTTGGCAGAGTTCCAAGATGGTTGATGCTTCGGTGCCTCTTCTCTGAAGTATCCCATAATCCCCTGGACAGTTCCCTCTAAGAACTCCACTGTCTCAATCCTTTAAGTCTTCTGGATTCAGGGAAACCAAGACCAATTCCTCCTTACAAGAACATTGGGAACCCCTGATCTCAAAGTTTTTTTTTTTTTTTTTTTAATTAAAAACATAGAACAATGCAATTAATAATATAACATATACCCAGGTTCTAGGCACCCAGAATTAATGACTGTTAACATTTTCTCCCAAGGTATTTTGAGAACCCTTTTTTCTTTAGAATGACTCGTGTCATAAGACACAGGCTTAATCTACCATCGTTTAATCACCAGATTATCAAATTAGAATATTGAACTAGGACAGGAAAGATAAAATATTCTTATTTTTTTAAATATGGTACTTAAGTGGACCACGTGATGAGTTTTGACAAATGCCTATCATTGCTTTTTTTTTTTTCTCTCACTTTTTTTTTTTAAAGCAACAAGCCAAGGAATGTACTCATCATGTTTTATTGCATTTGCAATTGGAACTGTATAAAAAGGCAATTCACTTTACATAATCTTTTTTTTGCCATTTTCACTTCCTGTTAAACCAGGGAATAACCTGGGGATTTTTATTTTCTGGTAGAAAATGCACAGTTTCAAGAAAGTCAAGAGTAAAGGTTAAGTTTACAGATTTCCAGTGACAGAGATGAAAGGGAACTGCATAACTCTGGAAAATAAAAGTTCAGAGTTGCGTTGCCTACAACTTTTTCATTTGTTAAGTTCTAGGAGCAAGTTTGAATGGGGAACCAAGAAGCCTGAATTCTAGAACCAGTGCTGCCACTAGTGCACTGTGTGGCCGCTGGCCCATCACTTTACCTCTTTGGGCTAAAACTCTTTTTGTGCTTTTGGAGTAATTCATGTCCACTTTCTCCTTCTTCATGTCTTTTGTTTATAGCTTTGCCTTTTATGCACTGTTAACCAATCAGTCCTGATTCCTCTATCACACGTAACAAGAGGGTAAGCTGTGAACGTGAAGTGATGCTGCCAAGCTTGGCCAGTGTATGCACGCTGTACCTTGCGTGGGTGCAGTGAGGTCCCTGGAGGCCATATCTGGACTGGCTCTGGTCCTGAGGGTCAAAGTTCACCTGCTCCTGGATCCTAGTTTCACCTTCACAGGTCCCTCTGTATACTGACTTGAAATGTGACTTTCTTAGTGATAAGAGTTGTGGTTTTTGTTCATTCACCACAAATGTTGCAAACCCCTACTTTTGTGCAGGGCACTGTTTTTCACTTTTATGTGAAGAACAGCCTAGAAGAGGTTACTTTAGCAATTCTTTAAATGCCAGAGCCCTATGCTAGCTAAAAACTCAGCACTGTATCTCACTTAAAAAACAAAGTCAACTCCAAAGCCATCACCTCCACTTGGTAGTATGCTAATGAAATTGGGATACTGAGGGCCAGGTATGGTGGTTTATGCCTTAATCCCAGCACTTTGGGAGGCTGAGGCAAGTGGATCACTTGAGGTCAGGAGTTCTGGCCAACATGGTGAAACCTCATCTCTACTAAAAATACAAAGATTAGCCGGGTGGGGTGGCATAGGCCTCTAGGCCCAGTTACTCGGGAGGCTGAGGCAGGAGAATTGCTTGAACCCAGAGGCAGAGGTTGCAGTGAGCTGAGATCACGCCATTGCACTCTAGCCTCTGTCTCAAAAACAAAAACAACAACAACAACAAAAAGAAACTGGGACACTGAAGTAAGCAGCCTTCAATCCTTGCTGAGCATTTGGCCCTAATCCTCTGAATTCTTCTGAGAGTTTAGGGTTGGGACTGAGGCAGTGGGTCACCTTGGATCAACCCTAGCACTCTGGATGTCAGCACTGGCCAAGCGTCTTCCTTCTGACTCTGTAAAGCAGGAGCAATCCTCTTCTTGCACAGCTGCTGGCACTATCAGACAGAAACGACAGCCCTGGGAGGAGACCTGCAGCACTGCCATTCAGTGGTTCAGACACGTGAGCCCGGACCCCAGTGCTGTCATGGACCCACGCCATGACTTGGCCCAATGACTGTTTCCACAGTGGAAACAGTGAAAGTTCCAACCCCAGATGTAGTGATGAAGGTTCACTGCACTTGCACACAGTAGATGCTCAATAAATACCCATTATTCAATTAGGGAAATGAAGCACAACATCCATTTTTGGAAAATATTTATTAAAAAACTAGTGAATGTGGCAGAAAAACAAAACCAACACACAGCTTTAAATAGCAAGCATATGACACACCGGTTATAAAGCTTTTCCAACTCTACTGACCTCGTCTTTCACACCAGCTACTGTCGACGAGGGCTTCCGAGGGAAGCCATGTGTAAACGGGTCATCTGTACTAGTGGTGAGCAAAACTAATTACATGAGAACTATCAATGGCCATATGACTTTCTTTCCTAGGCAATCCACCCAAAACATAGGTGAGTGACCAAATCTCAGGCGTGTGTTCATGTGGATCTATAGTTCTAGTTTTAATTTGAGGGTTGGGGGAGGTTAGAGGATGAAACAGTAGAAAGACAAACAGTATCGGCAGAGGGCAACCTTAAAGCACCTTTAAAATCTGGACCCTTTCCCACAATTTAACCCAGTAATTGTCAAACATTACTGTTGAAAAGAATCACCTGATGAGACTGTTAAATTGGCAGGCTCCCTAAATCTGCAATTTTAAGATAAGCACTCTGGGTGATTCAGTGTCTATTAGCCAGCCATCCTATTTGAGAAACACTGTTTAAAATGCATTAAAACAATTCCTACATCCCACAAACAAAAGTAAAGGAATCTGCTGACAGTCACTGTGCTTTTGTCAATGTCAAGGGACCAATATGGGAAGGCAGGCAGGAAGGGGCCTCCCATTCCTGACACACTGATCTATAGAAGCCCTGTGCAACAGCCTGTCAAGTGTTGTTTAGGCAGTAAATACAATTTAATAAGAGTTGTTTTAGATCACAGAACAGCCTCCAAATTACCAACAGGCCAACCCCATTCATCCCAGGTTAATGAATTTTGTTGGGTTGAAGCCAGATGGGAAACTGCTGTTCAAACAAAACACGGGTAATTGTGGGTCCTGACTTGTGAAGACATATGGAATAAAACATCTATAAAAACCTTTATTAAACATAGAGCACTATGCCCAAATAATTTTGATGGTTTACGAAAGTCACATCATGGACAACATGTAGAAATAGTCACATTGATTCCAAGGTTCCCATTATCTGCAAAAAGATGTGCTATGGCTGTGTCGAAAACAAGGCAGTCGCTGTTCATGATGGCTGCAGCCACACCGTCATGAATCGACCGGGGTGTGGCCTCCCAGGTCAATCTCCGCCGGTTCCCATTCAACTCCAGTCTATAGGCAAAGTTCTCAGCTTGCTTGCGGGTGCCAATGAGCAGGACGATGGCAAAAAACTGCTGGTGGCCTTCGTACTTCTCTTGTTTCTCCAGCACCAGCATGAAGTGATGGCCAAAACATGACTGCATCATCACCCAGTCGACAGCCCCTGGCAAGTTAATGTCTGTAGCTAGAAAGACGATGTCTTCTCCTTGGAGGGTGGTAATGCTCTTGTGGGCATGCATGAGATGGGACATCACAGCTTCCAGGGACCCCTGCCACTTGCAGGAGGCACCAGGACAAGGGCAGGAGTAGGGACGGTATTCACAGATGTCTTCATGTTCTGGTTTCTCCGTATGGTGCAGGGTCAGGGAACAGCCCGTGGTGGCATACTGCAGAGAAAGAAATGCATTGAGCCATTGGGCCTTCTCAAAACTTCTATTGCTTCAACCCTCTATGAGTACTTAACTACTCCCTTTTCCTGGGCTTAAACTGGTCTTAACTACTTTTGCTCAAAACAAGTGAAATATTCAAGACTAAAAGTCTCAGTCTCTACTCATCATCAATGCTGTCATGCATAAAATCAAGGGTATTTTCCTGAACCAGAAATATGCTATTTTCCATGTCCCCTGTTCTGCTGTCAAAAGGATAAGAACTAAAGTTCTCTTACGATGCACATCTCAAAATTGTTGAGTAAGCCCTGTAAAATCTGGTCTTCCTCATATTTTTGGTGAGGCTGTTTTTTAAAGAATTCAATTGCTTAGGGGTAAGGATGGGGTTGGGCAAGGATTATTATATTATCCCTAGATTAGTTTTCACATACAGACAATATGAACAACAGTATAATTCTATTGTCCCCCTCCACTGCTTCCTGGCTCAAACTGGTGACTGGCAGGCAGGCCGTGGGGAAGGCTGCCCTTTGGTTCCTTGCTCTTTGCTGCTGGCATGACCAGGCTAGGGCAGCGGAGGCCTGGAGACCCCTTCATACTGCTAGAAATATTACCCCACTGTATCCTTTTGACCTTCCCTCTAGGGGGCTTTGCCCATATTTTTTGGGTGGAAGGAAATCACATTCAGAGCTACTTAACTAACTCATAAGACTGCCGGTCAGTCTGGTTCTGGCCAGTGGAGGTTAAAATGAGAAGGGCCTAACCCTCCTCTCAAAGCTCGCTAACCCCAACACTTCCTGCGATTCAAGAGCACATCACTTCATGGCCAGGTATGTCAGGTCCTCACAACAGGCCCGGGAGGAAGCAGAACTAGACGAGTTTGTTGACATGATCGGTCTGCCCCTCAGACACTGCCTTAATAGGGTAGGAGAACAAAATCTTTTTCTCCCTTGCACTTGGGATGACATTCCTAATGGATAAATCATACCTGCCGTGGCAAAAGACCACACCAAGAGGAACTGAACTTCTGCTCCTGACTCTCACAAGATGACAGTGTTAATTCCTAGATACCAGATGGAGAATCAGCCCACAGGTAGACACCTGCCCTGAGTACTAAGCTGTTGTTCTGTAAAGAATTAAGAAACCTGAATCATCTTTTTGGGTGAAACTAGGTGTCAGCCTTATACCCCTGGAGCACAGAATGGCAGGGGAACTGTTTGGCTTACCACACTTGGATTCCCCTGCTCCACTGAGACATGAAGGCACCAAATAAGGGCAGGGCCAGGTCATTTTTCTAAGATGCTATGTCCAGTTGCTAAAAAAAAAAAAAAACCCACCACTGCTGTTTTTGCTTTTCTCTACCCTGCTTTATGGAATAATCCCCCTTTTAAACTTGAAGTCGGTCAAATTCCAACCTTTATAGATGAATTTATCACTAGCAACAAGCAGATAGTATGAACTATGTGCCTTCTCCATACAAGACGCTAAGTTACAGTCACTCAGAGGATTCCGAAGCAAAGATGACAGTCTCCACTCTCAGGGGGATTAGTCTCCCCTAATCGGAAAGGAGAGTGGCTTAAAGAAAGAAATGCGGCTCATCCTCCAACCCTCACTTCCCCATACCTAAGTGGATTATAATATTCAACAGAAATTGGCAGAAATGTTTCACTGTTACTTCCTTTGCACATAGGAATTGTTTGTTCATCTTTTAAAACTCTGAACTAATTTTTAAAGCCTGGGTGTAAAAAAACTCACTCAGGAGAAACAAATTCATGCGTATTTATACTTTGTGCTCCTTACTTTATAAGGCCTGAAAAACAAATCCCTATTAACTGTGTTTTAAATCTAGGGTGTGGCTAGGAATACAGAGCCTCCTAATGTTCTTTTGTGAGTGATGGGTGAGACATTTCTGTCCAGAGTTTAACAAAATAAAACACACACACACACACACACACACACACACACACACAGTAAAAATAGCAAGAACTAGCCCAGAGCCTGGCAGATTCTCGAAACAAGCTCTCAATATCTGAAGAGGTTTCAAAACGAACTATTCCCCATAGCCACCCAGGTATAATCCCAGGAATGAGATGAACTTTGGCCAATGGCACCTAGAAAGGCACCACCTGCACCTCTGCCCAAAGCCCCAAACCACTCCTCATTCATGACGAACTCAACATTTACAGCAAATATTTATCAACTGGCAATCATTTTATAACTTTCCCCACTCGAGTAGGAGTATTTATACTCTGAATTATTTGGTTTGCCTTACAAGTCACATATTCAACACTTCTTTTCACCCAGATATACAGAACAGGGAACCTCCCCAAACTGCACATATAGAAAAGGCATTACTTTGCATTTGTGTGGACAACGATCTCATGTTTTTTCATAAGGATCTTGCTACATCCTCTATTAACTTAAATAAATAGTTTTAAAGCCTTAGGTGCTTACTCTGCTTTTACTAAACAAGCAGAAATTTCATGGCATTCTATTCCTTCTCTTTCCATTATGGGTAAGGTTCATATCTTCATAACCACTGGTGCCACTTTTATGATGACTAAAGTCTAAACTTTAACCCCCTACACACACACACACACACACACACACACACACACACACAATTTCATACTTCAAGCAGTCTTGGCATTGTTCTGGAATGGCATGCAGAGCACCATGCGTGTTCTGCCACTTTCATCCTTTCATCAGGGGCTCTCATCCAGGGATCCGAGGGAGGGGCTTTAGGGCTTTGTGAATTCCCCAAGACTGTATGTAAAACTGTCTAGGTGCTTCTGAGCAGCAAAGCCAAGCCTCACTGGCCCCTGGCCTTGGGCTTGTGTTTTCTTTTTTCTCTTCTTTTTTTTCTGTGAGACAGAGTCTTGCACTGTCACCCAGGTTGGAGCGCAGTGGCGCGATCTGGGCTCACTGCAAACTCCGCCTCCCGTGTTCATGCCATTCTCCTGCCTCAGCCTCCCGAGTAGCTGGGACTACAGGCACCCACCACCACACCTGGCTAATTTTTGTATATTTAGTAGAGACAGGGTTTCACCATGTTAGCCAGGATGGTCTCAATCTCCTGACCTTGTGATCCACCCGCCTTGGCCTCCCAAAGTGCTGGGATTACAGGCTTGAGCCACTGTGTCTGGCCTGGGCTTGTGTTTTCTTGAAGAGCTCCAAGGGTTTCTAAGGGTTTCCAGGGCTGAGAACCTCTATCCTAGAGCACACAGAAGGAATCAGCTGTGGATCCTGCCCTTGTGGTGTTTCCAGTTGAGAAAGACCATATAATAAATTTAACAACTGCATAAAGGAAGACCAGGAGGGCAACAGGTGATTTCAAGGTGGGACAGGTTGAGGAGGACAGGGTAAGGAAAGCTTTAGTGTAGACAAGTGGATTGTGGTTGGAGTTGTTCCATCTGGTTCTAGCACAGGGTGAGTGGAGGAAACAGAGGGGATAAAACCTAAAGGAGGCCAGGTGCGGTGGCTCACACCTCTAATCCCAGCACCTGGGGAGGCTGAGGCAGGTGGATCACTTGAGGTCAGGAGTTCAAGACTAGCCTTGACAATATGGTGAAACCCTGTCACTACCAAAAAATAGCGGGTGTGGTGGCATGCACCTGTAATCCCAGCTACTTGGAAGGCTGAGGCAGGAGAATAACTTGAACCCAGGAGGCGGAGGTTGCAGTGAGCTGAGATCGTGCCACTGTATTGCAGCCTGGGCGACAGAGTGAGACTCCATCTCAAAAAACAACCAACCTACCTAAAGGAGAAGGCAGGTCAGGGACTTTCCTGACAGCCAAGTTTATTTTGAATTTCTCTACAGTGGTGCTATTGACATTCTGGACCTGATCATTCGTTGTTGTGGGGGCTGTGCTGTGCACCATAGGATGTCTGGCAACATCCCTGGTCTCTATTCATTAGATGCCAATAGTAACCACCCCCTGCCCCTCAGTTGTGACAACCAAAAAATGCCTCCAGGTCTCCAGGCATGGCCAAATGTCTCCTAGGGGGCAAAATGGCCCCAGTTGAGAACCACTAACTCTGATGAGAACCACTCATTCCAATTCTCAATAATGACAAAACCTAGCTTCCAGGCAGCCACAATCACAGTTGCAAGGAGGGGCCCATGCCAGCAGGTCCAGTAGGTCACTGCCCCACCCAATGAGCACTACCAGGGCAACTCAGGAATGCCAGCCCTGCCACACAACCAGAACATGATCGCTAGCAAAGCATGGAGTTAGACCAGGGAGCCCATTCTGCCCGTTTTACCCACTAGAAGCTGGATGCTCCCAGAGTGTGGCTGACTGGTCAGGGCCCTGTGGCCATTTGTGGCTTCACAAGGGGCAGAACCCTGCATTCCCAGGCTGCCCCTCCAGGGTTCTTTCACTGCACACAACAGCTCAGGAGTCAAAGAATCAATATTTTGAGAAAACTAAACAAATAATTTACGTCTGCCTTCAGCCCTGGCCCCCAACCCAACACACATACAACCCAGAGTCCACAGATACACTGCTTTTGGAAGCAGGTTCTAATATTAACTTCTTTGGTTTGCAAGGAGAGAAAAACAGACCTGAAAGTGCCACTCCCTGAGGAATAAGGCAGCGGCATCTCACAAAGCAGTGACCAGCCATTAGGCCCTCCCAGCCTTCTCTGGGATCTGGCAAGAAAGTCCTGAGGTTTCACTTCACACTCTAGCTAGGGCTTGCTCCACAACATGTGAAAAGGTCAAGGACTTGTGCGTTTGGGCTGGGGAGGGCTTTCCTTTAGACGTCTGGTTCTTAGCAGTACCCTCTTGTTACTGAGAGAAGGCTCTTGGGCTGGTTTGCAGAGGGCTGCCTGTGTCTCCTGGGACAAGCCCACAGCTATAAATGAGATTTCTCCTTAGGGAAATATGTGCTCATTTTCCCCAGGGGGAATTAGTTTTAAGTAAACCTCTCTAAAGAACACACACACACACACACACACCCTGAAAACTAAAGAAGAAAATAGGGAGGTAGGACCGGGCG